AGTTAAATGAGGTGTCACATGAACCATCTTGCAACCTCACATTTAGAAGCTGGGTACAGTGCTAAAGCCCTGCAGAAACTGAAAACAAATGGTTCTTCCCTCTAATTACATGAAGATTTGTGTGGGGATGTGACCCCAAGTCCTTCCCCTCTGGCTGTCCAGGTGAGAGGCCTGACAGGTAGAGGTGCAGCGTGGCTGCCTTGCAGCCCATCTGCCCAGCATTGCTTCTCGGTCAGGACAAAACCTATTGTGTTTCATGGGCTGAGAGACTCTGTAATCTAGTTAAGTTAAAAAGTACGAACTGTCATTAGTGCCAGGTAGTATATTTACCCTGGAGACCTCAAAAAAGCTCTTCCAGTCTCTTGGTGTATTTCTTTTCCACAAAATCAAGAAGTGACTTTGTCAAGATATATAAAAACTCGTGGGGGAGGGTGTGCTTTCTTCTCTTGCTGCAATTTCACCTACTGCTTATAGCAACAGGTGAAATACTCGGTCAGATATTATTATTGTATGTTTTTCGATGGCAAGCACAAATCTACTGGGGAACAAGGGCATGATATAGGTGCAAAACCAGATCCACAATAATGGTTTATTGGGAGGGGAACGGTTTATGTACAGTTTAAGGGAATCTGCCTGGCATGGGAGAACGGTGCAGCCAGCACCCCAGCCTGTTACCGTGCTGTGGGGGATGCCACTGCACTGGGAAAGGAGATCTGCACAGTTAAAACAGCAGCTTTTCTTGTGAACAAGTGGCAAAGGCTTTCTCCAGTGCTCCCACTGCTCCTTAGAAGTGATTTGTCCAAGCCAGATACCAATTCTGAAAGCCTTTACCAAAGTAGCAAAATGTCAAGGTAGCAAGCAAGCCTGAAGTACTTTTATCTCTCCATGTAATTTCTCAGGCTTTTGCTAAATCAGATTGTCTGCAATGACAAAAACTTCACTTGTTTCCGAGATCTCAGAACTTTTTGTCTCCTGTGACGTGAGTCATGGCTGCTCTTAGAGTGATAAGAAAGAAAAATTACTCTGCCTGTTCATTTTGATCCTTCTTTTATCCTTTCAATCCTATGGGACTATCAGGAAAGCTAATTGGATTTTCTCCTAGAATGTTTATTTGTGAAATAAAAATGCAGTTTGTGTAACACCTTACGATCACGCTTCTGTAACTGTAATGCAGTATATGGGAAAACTAACAAATGACCCAACTCGTTAACCATGAAAGAAGCATAGCAAATCCTGGAACACAGAGAAGTCACCACTTGCCTTTTTTAGCATCTATAGCCACTCTATATTGACTCAGCGTGTGGTGTGTATGTGGGGAGCTGAACAGCCAGAAGAGGGTAGCATTAGTTAGTTAATAAACCTCATCTGTAAAGCAGAGCTATATTTGAGAGAAACGCCTACTTGTATTTCTGGCTGCAAGGCAGAGAAACATAACATTGAGAAACTCATCACCGAGCTTTTGACAGAATGTGGAAAGGCAGATTTACAGTCAGAACTGATAAGGAAAGGCAGATATACAGTCAGACCGAGAACAGGCCACAGAGCTTTTTGCACTCTATTAGCTCCTGTTTGACCAATGCCTCTACGCACATCCAAAATGCACGTACAAAGCAACTTCATGACTTTGCTTTTGGGGATAGCAGCACAAGTCAGTAAAACTAAACAGTGTTCCTGAGTGCGTCCTGGCACATGTCCTTGCCTGCAGTGAATCTGAAAGGCCAGATGAATCTGAAAAGCCCCAACGTTAAGGGCATGGTTCAGGGCCTAGGTAATAGAATATGAAACATGAAGTTGCTGAGATCACCAGACACATGCAAATTTGATGGCCTGAATCAAAATGTTCTCCTTGGGGCTGTCCTTAATGTCTACCCAGAAAAAAATGCTACTCCCAGGGCCTGTCTGCAATAAATGAGTATTCACAAAGGGAATGTCGTCGTATCTGGCAGAAGCAGAAACACCTTTGTAGAGACACCAGCTCGCAGGAGCTTTGGACAATCCTCTTCTATGCCTATGCTGAGGATTTCCTCTTCGAGGACTATCTATCCAGCCCCTATCAATGCTCATGACTGTAAACAGAACTGAATTGCTGCTGGGCATTTCATTATACAGAGATGTATCTACACCCGTTAGCTTGCATTTTTTTCTTTGCCCCTAAAAGAGATCAAATGGCAGCACTCTTCTCTGAGAAGTTGGTAGGGCTTGCCTGAGGAGGCGCATGAGAGGACAAGGAAGATTGGGGGATGGCTGTTGTTATCTGTATCACACTAGTGCTTAGAAATCCCAGACAGGATCAGGCCTCCCTATGCTAGGTGTTGTCCACAGGATCGGAAAAGCTGGAGTCTGAAAAAAGAAGCTGAAACAGACAAAAGGTGAGAGGGGAAAGAGGTACAAAGACATGAAATACCATGCCCAAGAGCACACAGCTAGTCACTGGCCAAGGAATATAAAAATTCCTGTCCTGCCAAGTTGCTTCTGGCACAGCTGCTTTAAATTGCTCAAAGGCTGTTATGTGAAAAAGCCTGTATGTATCTTTACACCTTGGAAAAGCACTGAAAAGATAATACACCGTTTATTCATATTTTATTTGTACTATATACCTGGAACAAAGTGGAAATGCAAGCTGAATCTTTTTTCTATAACTCTTTTCCCTCCACCCTTTCAAAAATAACACATATAGAAAACATTGGAACTTTTCATTTCAAAGACCATCACATCAGACTATAAATCCTAAACTAGATGACCTTCACCCTGCTGCTACAATGCAGCCACTTTCTCAGCTTGAGTGTGTCCATTATCCCTGTAGCACACAAACAGCAAACAGGAGCTGGAGAAGGGAAGGGGACAGAGAATTCTGTATGCAGGTGGCATTAGGGTGTCAGACTAATTTCATCACCTGAAGGGTTTAGTTTCAGGTATTGTGAAAGCCTTCATGCGACAGATTCAAAAAGTCTTTAAAGCAGCACTATCCCTTCAAATTACCAGTTGTGAATTTGCTCACAATTTCCCCTGGACTCAGCTCTTAGTTACAGAAAGGACTTTTAAAATGACATGTGAATATCCAGCTGCCATGTCTGCTTCACTCAGTCCCATGTCTCTGACCATTTGTTATGTGATATAGAAGCAAAACTAACTATAAAGATTCTTTCTGGACATCATCCTGAATGATGCATAAAGGTTACAGTAATAAGCCAGTTCTCATAACATTTCTCGCCAATGCATTATGCATTTTGGCTTTGCTGGCACAGAAGAAATACATTATGGAAAATGATGTTTGATGAAGTCAGTTTTCTGCATACACATCCCTGCTCTGAGCTGCAATTCTAGGGGATCGTCTGCCATTTGTGTCAGTCTTGTTTGGCTGAGCTTCCCTCGTGAGCCGCACATCCATTAAAAGGAGTGTGAGGATGTCCACGCAGAGTCGGCTAGTCTGGCTAGAGCCATTTCCCCTTGCGTTTCCATGCTGCCAGGCACCATTCCCTGCAGAGGGATTTGGACTGATGATGCAGTGGGTACAGGGACGTTACCCCTTAGAAACATGCTTGAAGGGCTGCTGTTCACCTCGCTTCCTGGGTTGGCAACATTTACAGCACTGTTGCTCACTGTCCAGAGGCAAGGGTAGTGGCTGGAAAAGAAGAGGTACAAATTTAATGACTTGCTTCAAAGCATTTTTCCCTGCACAAGACTTACCACAGTAAAGTCAAGTGCGTTATCTGCTAAAAGGCAGCTATCCGAATTGAGTTACTACACTAGATCAGCCTTGCAGATCTTAAGTGAAAAACCACCAGCGACCATCAGAACTGGTGACCTTGGAGTGAGGCATGGAGAGAAATGTAGAAATACATGTGAGGTTTCAAGATTTAAAGATCTTTTTTGTGAATGCTTACGAATTTTAAAGAATTGCAGTTGATTTTCCCAGCACCTAAATTAGAGAAGAAATTTATTTCGGGAAAAGAAGGGGAAATACTTGATAATTAGTTGACTTTCTAAGTCTAAATTCCAGCCATTCTTTGTACTGTTTTCTACCCTATTAACAATATTTTTATAACAGAACAAATTAGATTGTTACATCCTTGCATGGGAATAGGATCCTCATTTCATGCAGGAGAATAGTGAGGAATATATATAGAAAGATAATTTGGCTTTAAAACGCTCACATATTGTAGATACCAGAGTTCTCTGTGGCTGTTCCAAGATCCTGTTTTTCAGGAGTGCTGGGCAAAACGAAGCTCCCATTGATTTCAGAGCAGGAGATAATTAGCTTGTCAGAAAGGTCTGTCCAGGAATCTCGAGTTAGGCAGTTAGGACATGTTTCAAATCCTGGATGCCGATTAAAGCTTGGAACAAAGTGTGAATCACCAGGGCAGTCCTACGAGCCTCACTGCTCCTAGTACCAGCAGTTTTCCTATACCCTTACCTGGGTCCAGGGCTGGCAGCTCCCTTCGTGTGTGGCACTGAGAGCAAATTAGCATGTGGAGAGGATTGCAAAGTCCAGTTGTCATGTCCTGAGAATACCTGAAGATTACTGCTGGAGTTCTC